AGCCTGATGCAGGACTTGAACTCACGAACTGTGAGATCATGACCTGAACTGAAGTGGAACACTCAACTGACTAAGACGCCCAGGCACACCTCTAGTATTTTTTTGTTGTTGTTTGTTTATTTTGAGAGAGAGAGAGAGAATGGGAGGGGCAGACAGAGGGGAAGAGAGAATCCCAAGCAGGCTCTGACAGTCAACGCAGGGCACAATCTTGTGAACTGTGAGATCATGACCTGTGCTGAAATCAAGAATCAGATGCTTAACCAACTGAGCCACCCAGGTGCCCTCTTCTTTAGTACAGTAAAACCTTGATTTGAGAGCATAATTCGTTCTGGAAACATGCTTGTACTCCAAAGCACTGGTACATCAAAGTGAATTTCCCCATAAGAAATAATGGATGATTCGTTCCACAACCCAAAAATATTCACACAAAAGTGATTACAATACTGTAATATAACACAAAATAATAAAGAAAACACAAAATATAAAGAAAAATAAATTAACTTGCACTTATCTTTGAAAACCTTTGTGGCTTGGACGAGGGAGAAAAGCGAGAGGAGGGCTATTGTGCAGGGCAATTTTTACTATTACTAACGGAATCACTGCTATTTATTGGCTCAAAGGAATCTTTTTCTTTTTGTGCAACTTTAAGAAGGAATCTATTCAATGACACTTGCCTTTGCCTCCTTTTGAGGAGTTTGTGGAAATGTGACATTGCATTGTTGTTAAACAGATTCATTGCTCACACCGCTCCAGCCTCATTCGGGTGGTGCTGTTCTACAAAATTTTGCAGTTTCTCACGTTTTATGTGTCTCTCTAATCTCATTTGAAGTGAGGGGTTCCTCTGCCTTTCGATCCTCCGTAACCTCTTGCTGTTGCACGCGATGCGGATCCATCAGCTTGTGGATGGTCTGCTCCTGGCCATGTTCCTCCACCAGCTCCTGAATGTTGTCTTTATTCACCTCCAGCCCCGTGCCCTGCCCCAAGGACACAAGTTCATCTACAGCTGGTAGCTCCTGTTCATGAGCGAGCCCCTCTAAGTCAATCAGGCCACAGTTTCCTCCAAGCAGAATTGAGGGTTCTCTTGGTGACCCCATCCCAGGCTTTATTGATGATCTTGAGGCAATTCATGATATGGAAATTATTTTTCCGAAACTCTCAGAAGGTAAGTTTCGTTCCTTCGGTCACCTTGAAGCATCGCTGAAATAGTGCTTTGGTGTAAAGCTTTCTAACGTTCAAAATGACTCGCAGATCCATGGGCTGGAGGACTGGAGTGGTGTTGGGAGAAAGGAACTTGACCTTAATGAACTTGAGTTCCTCCAATTAGTTGTCCTCAAAGCCTGGAGGATAAGCAGGAGTATTATCCATAACCAGCAAGGCTTGGGGTGGCAGATTCTTTTCCTTTTTAAAAAAATTTTTTATTTATTTCTGAGAGAGAGAGAGACAGCGTTAGCAGGGGAGGGTCAGAGAGGGAAACACAGAATCCAAAACAGGTTCCAGGCTCTGAGCTAGCTGTCAGCACAGAGCCCGACGTGGGGCCTGAACCCACGAACCATGAGATCATGACCTGAGCCGAAGTCGGACGCCCAACTGACTGAGCCACCCAGGCGCCCCTAGTAGATTCTTTCCTAAAAGCTGTTTCTTCACTGGAGGAACAAGGACCTCCTTGATCCACTCAACAAACAAGATACAAGTGACCCATGCCCAGCTCTTGGGCCTCCACGTGATGTTTAACTGGCTCTTCTGCACCTTGCATTTCTTGAAGGCTCGTGGATTCTTGGAATGATACATGAGCAGGGGCTCGACTTTAAAATCCCTGGTTGCATTGGCACAAAACAAGAGGGTGAGATGGTCCTTCATGGGCTTGTGACGAGGCATTACATTCTCTTCTTCTGTAATGTAGGTCCTGTCTGGCATCTTTTTCCAAAAAAGTCCTGTCTCACTGCAGTTAAAGACTCGTTCTGGCAGCTAGCAGTTGGAAACCATGAGCTTCTGGAACTTGGTAGCGAACACCTCAGCTGCCTTAGCGTCAGAACTCACAGCCTTTCCGTGCCTCACAGCGCTATGGATGCTACTTCTCCTCTTAAAGTTATCAAGCCACCCCCTGATTGTCTTGAAGCTTTCTTCCTTTTCTGTTGATGTATCTGGCAGTTTACTTACCAGGTTGATGTACAAGGCCTTTGCCTTCTCGCAGATAAAGTTCTAGGTCACAGTATCACCTGCTAGTTGCTTCTCGTTTGTCCAAACGAGAACACGTGGTCGTTGCTTTGATATTCTCATGACTTTTTTTGCTGCGTCTAGCCTTCTTATTTCTTCTTTAATATTGTGCAAATTGTCGACATAGACATCTTATAAAATCTTGCAATTTCAGCCACTTGCATACCTCGTTCATTCTTCTCAATGACTTCCTTCTTGAACTCCATTATAATCATCTCCTTCTTCTTACCACCTTTCTTTTCAAACTTTTTCTGCCTGGAGGCCGTTGTAAAACTCACACGGATGTTGACTACAGTACAGTATTAATAAACTCTTGTCATCTACTGTATTTAATGTAACTGGCACTAAGGCAACAGAGGAAAAGGTCTCTATCTGCAGGCAGTCTGACCTAGAATGAAGCAAAGCATTCCTAAGCTGACTCTTGGATGGAAAAGCAAAGGACTGTCCCTTGGTGCTTTGAAGTGACAAAAAATATATTAGTGCCAGTTGTGGGCACCTTCCAATGTTCTGAAAAGTCACTGATTTCTGCCAAACACCATGGCCTGAGGCCAAGCATCCAAACATAGGAGACAATCACCCACAATCCCTGAGAGAGAGAGAGAGAGAGAGAGAGAGAGAGGGAATCAATGGCTTGTGATCATGTGATGTTTGGCATCATGTACAGCTCATACTGCAAGACATCGCTTATTTATCAAGTTAAAATTTATTAGAAATGTTTCCTTGTCTTGTGGAACACTTGTAGAACAAGTTACTCACAATCCAAGGTTTTTCTGTATTTTGACCTTATTGGGGTTAGGAAGAAGCAACAATGTCCCCCAACCAGGAGCCGTGGTAAATTGGTACAGGAGCCCTCAGAAATTAACCCATGTGCAATTTGGTGATGGCTGCCTAAAGTGAGTCTTCCCGATGCCTACAATGTACAGCGCTGGTGTTTAACATAGTTAACAATCAGTACGGAGATGGGCACTGATCAGAGAGGATACCGAGCCTGAACAATCTGTCTAATCACATTGGTTACGTGTTAGTCCTGGGAACGCTCCAGCAGCCATTTTGGGCCATGAGGCTAGAAGCCAGGAGCAGAGGATGAAAGGGGAGGAGCCTAGGGTCCTGATGACTTTGTGGGGATGCCACACCAGACTTGGACTGCCCACCTCCAGGATTACACTGTAGACTTGGTAGAATAAACCTGTGTTTATGGCTTTTTGAGTTGTGACTTATTTTCCTCAGCCAAACTGAAATTTACCTGTTGTCCAATCCCATGAAACATTGGGAAGCCAGAATGAAATGAACCAGAAAGTATTTTGTAAACTCTCCAGTTCTACACACATGTCAAGCATTTTTATCACTGTGGTGTTTGTGACCATAATTATGGCTGGTTTAGGAAGGATAGGTTGGAATAGACTGACATGATCCTGGCCAGAGATCAGAGGCTCTTTGTTCTGCTTCAGCAACATGTTTTTGAGGGCTACACACAGATAACAGTGGTACGAGACTGGCAGGAGAGGGGCCACCAGCCTTTCGGTTGGATGCCAGCAGGATGCCTACGTGAGTCTCGTTGAGCTGGGGCCAAAATGCTCAGGCACTGGTTGGCTGTTAAGCATAAAGGTTAAATTAGGACGGATGGGTTTAAATCCAGGCTCCACCTTCACTTGCTATGTAACGCTGGGAAGGTTACCGAATTTCTTTGAGTTTCAGATTCCTCATCTGTAAAACGGGACCAATTATAGCCCCTATGACATAAAGTTGTTAAGGAGATTCAGTGACATCACATACCTAGTAGGGAAAAAAGATAAATCCACAGTGTATCTGTATCTAGTCCAGGTTACAGAGTTTTCTGCTCTGACTACTAACCCTTGACATATTACAAATGGACAGAGTGGATTCTGACTTGTTTCTTCTTACCTTTATTGATTGATTCAGTAAGAATATTGAATGGGCCCACCATGTGCTTACTGTGCACCAGGTGATGAAAAGAGTTAGTGAGTTGGACTTAGACGATAGCATCCAAACACAGCCAGCTGTTCTCAAAGAACAACTAAAAAAAAAGTATGGCCAAAGTTTGTTTGAGTGCCTCTCCTCTTCTCTTTTCTTGAGGTCTCTCTTTGAGGTTTCTGCCATGGCTATGTTGGTTTACCCTCTCCCAATCAGTAGATGTTTAATTCACAGTAGATGTCACTAATTCATCTTATGGTGCAAATGACTACAAATCTCTCAAACCATGGACCTGCAAATGACCCGTCCAGTAAAGCCGGCTGTCCCTGAAAGGCTGTTCCTATCCATAGAAAGCAAGGAGGTTCCAGGCAGACAGACCTAGAGAATTCACTGAGTCTGAACCCTCTCAGTGGGGTAATCAAGCCAGTTTGGTCCAAGCAGGATGACCCAACCAAAGAAGTCATGCAGTCAGGCTGAGTGGGGAGCAGAAAATGGCTCTTCCATAGGCCATAGCACACATGGTGTGCTAAGCACTTTCTGATTAGGTTGTGCAGGATGCCCTGATATTGAGGCAAGACAAACACATTAGACCAAGAGCCCTTTGGCCCCACTGATTTGAAATGCTGCCCTCATTATATATCAAATCCTCCAATACGCATGAGGCTGTTCTGTTCTACTGTTCTACTGCTATCTCTTCCTACAGAGCACCATGATGTTTTAAAGACTATAGCTTTATAACATATTTTGATATCTGATAGAGGAAGTCCTTTTTTCCCCCCCAAGAATGTCTTGGCTGTTTTTATACGATCACTGTTTCAGATGAACTTTTAACTTCTTTTTTTAAGTAGGCTCGGTGCCCAACATGGAGCTTGAACTCACGACCCTGAGATTAAGAGTCACATGCTCTACCGACTGAGCCAGCCAGGCACCCCTCATATGAACTTTTGAATTAGCTTTTGAGTAACACCGATATGGAAACTTCTTCAGCTGTCTTGTTTATACCAGTCACGGGGCACTCTGAGAAGTCAGGCACTCAATTCCTGCCCTTGGGAGCTCACAAAATAGCTGAGAAGTGTAACCAAGCGAGAAGTGTAGAACAACAACCGGATCTCGTGTTCTGGGTAACAAGAGCCATGTGAGTGAGGGGTCCACACAGATGTAACTGCTCTGAGTTCCATTGTCCCTGCATGCTAGGAAAGTCATGGGAGGCTCGACAGGGAAGGTGACATTATAGCGTACTTTGATAGGTGAGCAGGAGTTTGTCAGGTATAGGAGAAGAGAAATGCTTTGAGTTGAGAAATTCAGAGAATGCTTCTTGGAGGAGACATTTCACTTGAGAGGTGAGTAGGCATTTGCCCGGTTCAGAAGGTGAGATGAAGGGAGTCATTGCTCCGAGCTGGGAGGGTCCCAAGGAGGCTCTCTGAAGACATTTTAGCTGGGTTTTGAGTTGGAGGAACAAAGAAGATGCTGGAAGAGGTTAATTAAATAAAAAGGATTTTATTAGAAAAGGAGATGACAAGGAGATGACATTTGACCTGGGCGTTGAGGGTTAAGCGAGCAGATCACCAGAGGAGGAGAGAGTGGAGGTAGACACAGAAAAGATTTCCCGGAGCAAATAGGAAACCTCCTGGCTTCCTGACCCCTGCTAACATCCAAGATCCAGGATCTAAGCGTCCCACCGCGTAGGCGCTAGGGATTCTCAAGTGGCCGCCCTGCTGTTCCCATTTCCCAGTGTGGGGCAGCCGGGAGCATTGAAGCTTACTCAGGTTTGCGGAGCAGGGTGGCAGAGCTCAATGCTTTTTGTCGGAATCGACCAATGGGATGGCGGCACCCGGTTGCCAGGGCTACGGAGGGGGCCGGGCCGGGCGGGGCCTGAGCCCTCAGGGGCGGGGCATGGGCGGGGCTTATATAAGCGGACGGCAGCCTGAAGGCGGGGCGTGGGGTCGGTGGCTGCTGGGCGGGCGGGGCGCAGGCCGCGGGGCCCGAGCCGGGGGGAGCGGGCGAGCGGAGGCGCCGAGGATCCGATTCACTCGCTGGGGAGACCTATGGGCCGAAGCCGTGTAAATGCGTTTTAAGGCGAGTGCGGGGAGTGGCTCGGGGAGCCTCCGGGAGCGGGCGCCCTCGGCTCCAGTGCTGACCTGCCCCCGGCCCCCTTGCCTCCTCTCAGCAGGGGCCTCGGCTCCGCAACTGCCACTCCTCCTCGGGGTGTTGCACAAGTTTCGAGGTCACCGGCGACCCCCCCTAGCAGCACGCCTGGCTCTGGCCCCCGCGAAGGAGGACGGGGCTTGGTAAGGGGGTGTGGGGGGGCGGGTCCTCGGCCCTGCATGCGGGAGGGCTCACCTGGACAGAACCTCAGCCTTAGGGTTCCCGCCCGGGAGCCCGCAACCCCTACACACCATGTGGCCCCATGCACGCTTGGTTAGAATCCTAGCACGTCAGGACCAGCCTGGCCCTCCATTTACAAACGGTGAAACTGAGGCTACCAGAGGAGACAGGGAGTAGCCAGTGTCACGCAGCGGAGGGAGGACTCGAATCTAAGCTCTTGCTCTTGGGCTGAGACTCCTTGGTGGGGCCACGCCCAGCCTCTTTATTTGGGCGTGGTCAAGACTGAGGGTCCCCTGAAAACTTCCCCACTGGAGCTTCCTGGCTTGCCAGTTCCCTGTCCTTCTTTCCCCTTTTGCTAAAACCTGAATTTCACTACTGGAAAGGACCTCCAAAATAATCCATCCATATAACAGATTGGAAAACTGAGGTTCGGAGAGGCAGTGAGTGACATCTAGGCATGTAATGCATTGTCTCAGGCCAGGATTCCTGATCGTCCCCACACTTCCCAGTGAACCTAAGCTCCCCAGGCATGTGGGTGTGACAGGACTGAGCCCCGGGCTTGGGGAGGTCAGGGAGGGCAGTGGAGAGCAGTGGAGGGCAGCCCCCTCCAGCGGCTCCCTCACTCCGCACCTCCCCTCCCTGCAGTGTGTTGCATACTTTCTAAGGCGGCGGGGCGGCGGCTCCATCCAGCCCATCGGCTCCTCCTCCTCGGCATGGCTGGCTACTTGAGCGAAACGGACTTTGTGATGGTGGAGGAGGGCTTCAGCACCCGAGACCTGTTGGAGGAGCTCACGCTGGGGGCCTCACAGGCCACCGCGGTGAGCCGCTGGGAGTGGGGGTGGGTCCCCTGTTCCCTGTGCAGGCCCAGCGCATTCTCCCCAAGGACTCCTCTGGCCTTCGTCTTCCTTCACTAATTTGGTGCCCAGTCCCGGCTCTTGGCCAGACACGGGCTCATTGCATCCCCATTTCCTTGTCCTTGTCCCCAAACTTTGCCCTTCCTGCCTGCCCTGCCCTGATGAACAGCACCCCACCCTCTAGGTCAGAAACCTGGGAACCCTGTTTCCCCCGCACCCCCTGCTTTGGGGCATCACCAAGCTCTGACCACGACTTGCCAGTGTGGTCTTCTGGGGCCCTGGCTTTGTAGATCAGGCCTCATCTCTCTAGAGTCTCTCTCACCTCCTCCCTGCCTCCTCCCGCCCGCTCCTACTATATCACAGCCACGCTCAAACTCAGAACTGTGTGACGGTTCTCCACTGCCTGCCGGGTCAAGCCAGAGCTCTGTCTTCACAGTCCTCTCCCAGCTTCCCCACCGCCTCTCCAGCTCCATCACAGCCCGACCACTACTGGTATTTCCCAGTGATGCCATGTGCTGTTACCACCCCATTTCCCCGGCCTGTTCCCTCCGCCTGGAATGCCCTTCTGCTGGCCTCTCTCGCTCTTACCTGCTTCTCTCCTTCCTCATTACTCATCAGGGTTACTTTTTCCTAATCTCCCAGGCGGATTGTTTTAATGTCCTTTTCTCCGTGGCCTCCACTGCATTCTGTAGGAACTCCCGTCGAGTTTATTGAACGGGCTCGTAATTTCTTAAAGGGTTTTTCTGTGCTCTTCAAGACCCAAGCCCCATCTGGTCATCTCTGTCCCTTAGCATAATGTCAGACACCAAATGGGCTTGAGTAAAAAAGTGTTGCATAAAAGGGAAACTGAGTCCCGGTGAGGGTTTAAGTGATGCTGTCTCACCCATAGCCTCATCCACGGTGAGCCCTCAGCAAATCTGATGACCAGCTCACAGGCATGGGGCGCAGTGCAGTGGGATTAGCTCAAGGCGTCAGCGACCACCTATTTGTGGAAGACAGTGGGCTGCAGGCCATAGCTCTGGCCCACAGGGATGCATCGGATGAATTCGCACACAGTTCTGATACTTTGGGAGTGTGCGCTAAATGCAACGAGAGCATGAAAGGCAGAGTTGCTTTATTGGTTCAGAGGAGGCGGCATTTGAGCTAAAACTTGGAGACCTTTTTGGAGAAAGGGTCTTCTGCGTGAAGGGCATGGTGGGAACAAGAGCTTGGAGGTGGGAAAGACACTCCAGCGTGGAGCTGTAGCTAGGGGAGGGGTCAGAGCCAGATCACAATCCCCGTCCCCCCTCGAATGCAGGCTGAGGAGGCTGCCTTCTGTGCAGAGACTTTTAGAGGCGGCCTCAGGGTGAATACCTGGGAGCATTGTAGATGGGCCACACCGGGAAGGGGCTGAGCGCGGCCTCACGTTCACCCTTCTCATGCAGGGTGATGTTGCTGCCTTCTTCGTGGCTGACCTGGGTGCTGTCATGAGGAAGCACTTCTGCTTCCTGAAGTGCCTGCCGCGAGTCCGGCCCTTTTACACTGTCAAGTGCAACAGCAGCCCAGGTGTGCTGAAGGTCCTGGCTGAGCTTGGGCTGGGCTTCAGCTGTGCCAACAAGGTGAGCCTGTGGCCCCCTCACTGGCACCTGCCCCTCGCTGCCTGCTCAGCACACACATGGCTGGGCTGCTGCGGGTGGGCCCCCCGGGGAAGCAGGGGTCCCCTCTGGGAAGGGCCGCCCACTTGGGAGGTGGTTCAAGGGATCAGGGAGGGAAAAGCAGGCATGGAAGTTCTAAATTGGAACCTTGTGTGCCTCTGGGTAGGTGGGTCTCCTTTTTAAAGGAGATTTTCAAGCTTCTTGGCATAGAGTTATTCATGGTATTCTTTCAATTAAAGGGAAACAAAACGAAAACACCTTTTTATCATGGTTTTCTTTTCCTTTTAATAAGTCTTATTAACGTGTGACAGTACATTTTCTCAACTAGTCCTTCGAGAATTCTGTTGTGTTGCCAATTTTGCTGCCTTTCTCATTCGATTAATGCTGTTGTCTTAATCGCCTCTTGCTGTGTCTGGATTTACTTTGCTCATTTACTATTGTCGTTGAACTACAATGTGCTAGTCAATGTGTAAGTAGGGCTGACACTACAGTGTTGAGCAGGGCAGGCTCCTTTGTCCCAGAGTTGAACGCTTAGCTCATCTATTTTCATCCTGTTCTTAGTTGATAAAAGCCTTTTTTTAATTTAAAAAAATTTTTAATGTTTATTTATTTTTGAAAGAGAGACAGAGCACGAGTCAGGGAGGGGCAGCGAAAGATGGAGATAGAATCCAAAGCAGACTCCAGGCTCTGAGCAGTCAGCACAGACCCCGACGCGGGGCCTAAACCCCGCGTGAACTGTGAGACCATGACCTGAGCCAGAATCAGAGGCTTAACTGACTGAGCCACCCAGGCGCCCCTTTATAAAAGCCTTTAAGCTATAAAATTTTCTTCAGAGTATAACTATGGACATATTTATTCATTTAGCAAACCTTTTTTGATCACCGACTGTGGGGCTAAGTACCATCCAGGTGGGGATTTAGTGAATGAATGAAATAAAACAAAAAAGGCCCTTCTTTCATGGAACTTGCTTTCTAAAAAAGCAAGCTAAATCAGGAAAATCGATATTATTTTATAAGATGGTCAAAGCTATGGAGAAAATTCAGGTGGGGAAGGGAAGTAGAAAATGTTGGGAGGAAGGATTATACTTTTATACAGTTTGGCCAGGGAAGGCTTC